ATCAAACAAGACAAGCTGGAGACCTCCCCCTACCATCCCCCTTGCCCAGGTGAAACCTCAGACTTGCCTATACAACTCTGCATTATTAATCAGTAAGGGGGCTGGGGGATGCTGGACTTGACCCTTCAAGATCATCTTGCTTGGGAAGTTCCCTACTTACCCAAGGAAAACACAGACCCCTGTGTTCCTGAATGAATTCCACACAGCTACAGAATTTTCTTCAATTCTATCTCCCCTCTTCCAGTGATAGCCAAAAAATATGGGTGGTGCAGGATTTAAAAGCTTGACTTCACACATCTAATTAGCCCTGGGCCCCCTCCCTACCCCCACTGAGTTTTTCTTTCTTTATGGCTGAAGCTCACCACTCCTGACCCTCAGCCTGGGAGTGATCCCGTGGAACTTGTACCCAGAGGAAGGCATGCAGGGTGACAGCTCAGCTCCCTGTGTGGCTCTGGAAAAGTAATCTACCGCACCCAGTCTGGCCTCTTCATGTATCAGATGTGAGAAGTGACCTGTTTGCCACCCAAGGGTTGAATGAGACAAAGTCAGTCTAAGAGGTCTGTGACACTTCAAGGATGGTGACACCTGGGGTTCATTTGCAGGTACCACGTTGAGGTTCAGTGGTCAGAGCTATGTGCGGTACAGGCCCAGAGAGGCTGGGAACTGGCAGGGGTTCTCCCTGAAGCCCCTCCAGCCACAGGCCGTTCTAATGTTCACCAATGAAACAATCTCTATTTCTCTGAAGGTAAGATGACTCCCACCCGAGTGGCTGCCATGGGGACCCCATCCTGGGAAAATGAGGGGTGCTATGAGGATGTGTCTACTGAGCCAATTCCTGGCAAAGAATCCTCTCATGGTTTTCAAGGATGCTGGGTGTGACTATCTATCAGAACACACAAGACCCAGGACTGTCTGCCCTGCAGCCATTCTAGCTGACCCAGTGCTCTATAAGCCATGTCTACCTGTTGAGAATAAAGCTAACTAGAATGTTCTAAGCCAGAGGTTCTCTATCATTTTAACTTCAGGGATGTGTGTGCATGCACATGTGCAGAGGCCACCTTGGCTGTTGCTCCTCAGGTACCATCCACCTTGGTTGTCTTTGTTTCTTGCAAGTCTGGAGCTCAACACCTAGGCTAGGCTAGCTGATCCATGTACAATCGCTTGAATGATCAAAAACACAGGGTCCCATCAGTAAGGTTTATTTGGGCCTCGGGTTCCTCGTCTGTCAAATGGGATCTTGATCATCCCATGGAATATAGTAAGGACTGGATGGGATTCTGAGGGCAGTTGAATTCTTCAGAGGCAATGTCAGAAGCATTTGAAAATGCTTGAAAATGGGGACGTGGCTCTCAATTGGTAGAGCACTTGTCTGTCGTGCACAAAGACTGGGATTCAATCTCCAGCACCATGTAAATGAGATATGGTGGTAAACTGAAATGCTAGCTAATTAGGATGTAGAGGCACAAGGATGAGGAGTTCAAGGTTATCCTTGGCTACATAGCAAAAGGAGGTGGGGGAGGGAAGAAAACACCAATAGCATTCTTGCAATTGGAAGCCTGTCAGCAGAATTACAAAAATCTTTGTTTTGCTGATGGCTATCTGTGCTCTTTTTGCAGCTGGCCAATGGCTTTCTCCAGCTGGAATACAGCTGCCCAGGTGGTTTCTATGGAAACCTTTCTGCCCGGCACTGAATGAATGATGGAGAGTGGCACTCCATGCTGTTTGAGGAGAGGGGCACTTCTGTTCATCTGTTGGTTGACACCACGGACAACACCTCCCTTGTCATCCCAGAGGAATGTCAGGGTCTGAGGACTGAGAGACACCTACTGCTGGGTGGCCTTGTCCCCTCAAATTCTCCTTCAAATGTTTCCTTGGGCTTTGAAGGCTGCCTGGATGCTGTTGTGGTCAATGGTGAGAGGTTAGAGCCGCTTGGCCATGGAAAGAAGATGGTGGGCTGGCTGGAGAGACAGGCCCTCACCCAATGCTGCTGGCCCAGCACTGCCTGCAGCCAGAACCCATGCCTCAATGGTGGGAGCTGCTCACCTGCCCTTGGATCAGGTAATGACTGAGACAGTGATCCCCAAGGTTTATCCCAAAGACCCCTGGCTATGGTGTAGCGCTTGGGTCTCACTGTAGAGTTGACAGGGTAAGGTCCCTCACTACAGCCCAGAGTGATCTTGGGCAAGCCACTAGTATCTAGTAGACAAATAATTCTTGAACTACAGCACCAAGATGCAAGTTTTCCTGGGGCCCTACCCACTAGCTGGTTGCTCACTTGTCTTCCTTTTTCTCCCAGGCTACCTGTGCAGATGCCCCCCTCCATTCTCTGGCAGGAACTGTGAACTTGGAAGGGAGAATTGCACTTCTGCACCCTGCCAGGAAGGTGGCACATGTGTCTCTTCCCCTGAAGGCACTTCCTGTAACTGTCCTCACCCTTACACAGGTGACAGGTAAGTCCAGAGAGGCCACATACTCTGGCTTCTTATCCTGGAGCTGTAGAGAGTGATCTTTGCTTCTTGTCCTCTGGAGTGGGAGTCCAGAAGCCAGGCCTCTGGGCCCTTTTCTCCTGTGACTTCCCTGCATCAGGACACTGTGGGAAGGGATGCTTGTGAAGAAGGTTGTTTCCCAAACCCAATCCCCAACCTTATGAACCAGACCCACAAATGAGGGACCAGAAAGCTACATACACATCTCACTAGCTTTTTAGGGCATGTCAACTTTGGCTGACATCTATGGAGAAATGACTGCACTTGCTTTGTACTGTGTGTCCCAGACACATTTGAGGAAACTGATTATCCTGGGCCCAGGAACAGCTATGACTCAGACCTGCCAGCAAAATTCTGCACTCTGCCCCTGACTAGGCTAGGCAATGAGAGTTGCTGGGGATGGAGACACATTCTAGAAACAAAGCATTTGAACAGGTATCTAGTGTTGATAGACCCAAGCTTGGGAACCTGGGCTATGACATATCCTGTCTTTAAAAAAAGTCAATGACATAGCCCTACCACCATTGTGTAGATGGAGAAACAGAGACCCAGAGAGGGAAGAGGCTTGTCCAAGATCACCCAATGTGTCAATGACTCAAGTCCTTCTCAGCAGTTATCATTCTTGTCCTGATCTCTGCCTGCTTTGATATAAGAATGTTATTTATTCATCAAGGTCATTGGAGGGTGTGTGGGAGCAAGCCAGGAAAGTGGCATTTATGTTTTAAAAGAGGAACTTGGAGGAAAACAACATTTCACACAGCAGAACAAGCTGCTTGTGGTGAAATTATTGGCACTGAGATAAATTTGAAACTCAATTAGGATGGGGGGAACTTTTCATTCAAATCCCTCCAAAGTGGGATTTGTTGTTCTCTAAGGACCTTACACCAAGTAATACCAAATTGAAGATGGCCCCAGAGGCCATATTGTAGAGGAACAGTTTCTGTCCCACCAGGTCCCACCACTTCAGCCCCAAATAAACACACAGAGATGCTATATTAATTATTAAATTGTTGGCCAATGACTAGGGCTTCTTATTGGCTAGCTCTGTCTTAATTATTAACCATAACTACTAATCTATGTATTTCTACATGGCCTTACCTTACTGAAGAGCACCTGGCATGTCCTATCCTCCCTGTGCTCCCATGGTGTCTTCTTCCGGTCTCTCTCTGCCTACCTTTCCCAAAATTCTCCTCGTCTCCTAGTCCCGCCTGTCTTCCTGCCTCTGTTGGCTATTGGCTAAACAGTGTTTTATTCATCAACCAATAAGAGAAACATATATACAGAAGGACATCCTCCATCATCATATAATGACTTAGTTTCTTTTTCTGTTGCTGTGATAAAACACTGTGACTAAAGCAACTTAAGGGAGAAAGGGCTTATTCTGGCTCCCAGTTTAAGGTGCAGTCCACCAGTGAGGAAGCCAAAGGGGCAGGAGCTCGAAGCAGCTGGTCACATCAATTCCACAGTCAGGAAGCAGAGAGATGAATGACGCTGCTGCTCAGTCTCCTTTCTCCATTGGTACAGCCAGCATCCTAGCCAGGGAATGGTGCTGCCCACAGTGGGCATGTCTTCCCACCGCAGTTAATGCAATCATAATAATTCCACATAGGCATGTCCATACAGTCATCTATCTCCTGGACTACTCAAGATTCTGCTAGGTTGACAATACTTCCTCCAAGCAGATATAGCATGTAAAGCAGCTAAGCAGTGCAGGACACACATGTATGCTTGCACATGTGTTTGTGTATGTAGGGGTCCAGAGGAGGATGCCTGGTGTTCTACTCTATCACTCTCTGTCTTATTCTCAAGAGATGGTCTCACTGGGCTGGGGAGATGGGGCAACAAGCCTCAGTGATCTGCCTGTCTCTGCCTCTCATAGTTTGGTACCAACATAGCCAGCTTTTTATGTGGATGCTGGTGATTCAAACTCAGTTCCTCATGTTTGAACAATAAGTGCCTTTACCCACTGAGCTATGTACCCACCCCCAGACTGTACATATGCAAATGTGTGTGCATGTGCACACGCACACAAGCACACACAGACACACTAGTGGGGGTGGTTCTGCTATCAATGTGTTGGTGTGTTTGACAATTCCCTTTGACTTTTGGTAGGAAGTGACATGATTGAGGGTGAGGGTCCTGTTCCATAGGACTTTGGAAGAGGGACCTTTAGGGAGCTGAAAAAATAGCTCAGTGGCTAAGAGTACTTAATGTTCTTCCAGAGGACATGGTTTTGATTCCCAGCACATGATGGCTCACAAACAGTCTGTAGGATCTTATTCCCTCTTTGGGCCTCAGAGGACATCAGGCACACATGGTACACAGGCATACATGCAGACAAGATATTCATACATTAAATGAATAATTTTTTAAAGAGGGACTTTCAAAGGTCTGCTAAGCACTTCTCAATCTCTGCAGGTGTGAGATGGAAGCAAGGGGCTGCTCTGGAGGACACTGCCTCATCACCCCTGAGATTAAGAGAGGGGACTGGGGACAACAGGAGTTCCTGATAATCCTAGTAGCCTTACCTCTCATCATCATTGCCACCGTGGGACTCCTCCTCTACTGTCGCCGCTGCAAGTCTCACAAGCCAGTGGCCATGGAGGACCCAGACCTCCTAGCCAGGAGCATTGGTGTTGACACCCAAGTTCCGCCTGCCATTGAGCTTGACCCATTGAGCACCAGCTCCTGCAACAACTTGAACCAAGAGCCCAGCAAGACTTCAGTTCCGAACGAACTTGTCACCTTTGGACCTAGCTCTAAGCAGCGGCCTGTGGTGTGCAGTGTGCCTCCCAGGCTCCCACCAGC